TTCCTCTTTCTCCACCAGCTTTACCCCCTCCTCCTTCTCCACCAGCTTCTCCCCTTCTTCATTCTCCACCAGCTTCTCCCCTCCTTCTTCTCCACCAGCTTCTCCCCTCCTTCTTCTCCACCAGCTTCTCCCCCTTCTCCTCCACCAGCTTCTCCCCCTCCTTCTCTACCAGCTTATTTAGCTCTATGCTCCGCAGGAAACTTGCCAGCTCTATGATGCGAATTTCTACAAAGTTGTCTGACTACATTTCATGCACAAAAAATGGCCGACCGGCGACCATGGCTACGCCACTAGCTGGAATGGCACAATTACACAACAAGACCAATTTTACTTCTAATGCTTTCTAGACGTCCACGAGGCATCTAACTTGCGTGCATAATGCAAATTATTGCAATCTAGTGCCGAATTTTAGCGAATAAAAATGCCAAAAAAGGCATTTTCTAGAGACGAAATAGTGCATTGTTCGAGAAATTAAGATGGCGATTATTTTAGTGCCACCTGTCGACTAGATATCAGTTCACAAAATATGTTATAATCATAGAATCATCATATAACACTTATAATAGTTACATGATATCTATGGTTATAAAATTGATACACTGCCTTTGGCTTTTCGTTGTGTGTGATTTGTTGCCTGTTGTGTGATCTTTAATTGTTGTGCTTTGATTTTTTCTTTCCCTGTCAATTATTGTTCAGCTATGCATCTGTGAGCGTTTTTTCCTTTCTGATAGTCTATAATATATATATATATATATCAGGAGCTAATAATGACAAATATAATAATGACAAAATTAAATAATGATGATTATAATCAAATATAAAAAATTTAATAATGACAAAATTAAAAGCTAATAATTCAAATTTGTCGTTGTGCTTTGATTTTTTCTTTCCCTGTCAATTATTGTTCAGCTATGCGTCTGTGAGCGCTTTTTCTTTTCTGATAGTCTATATATAGATATATATATATATCAGGAGCTAATAATGACAAATTTAATAATGACAATATTAAATAATGATGATTATAATCAAATAACAATAATTGACAGGGAAAGAAAAAGGATGGATGGATGGATGGATGGATGGATGGATGGATGGATGGATGATGGATGGATGGATGGATGGATGGATGGATGGATGGATGGATGGATGGATGGGTGGATGGATGGATGGATGGATGGATGGATGGATGGATGAATAAATGAACGGACTGGCGGACGGACGGACGGACGAACGGACGGGCGGACGGACGGACGGACGGACGGACGGACGAACGGACGAACGGACGGAATCGTTGTGTACACAATTATTCTACTCGATATTATCTAAACGTCTCGCTGTACCTCCCAAGATTCTCTACTAACATGGGAACAAAAACATTAAAATTCAGAGGTGTCAAATTATGGGCTACACTTCCTTCAAGCATAAAGACATTGACTTTCAAAACCTTTGTTAAAGCCTACAGAGATACTCTCATATCCAAATACGAATAAGCACAGCTTATTCAGGTTCATATAAATATAATCTTCTTCTGTTTTTTCTCTTATATTTATGGTTATGATAACAATGCAAATTGTGTTTCTTGTTCTCCCTGCATGGGCATTGCGCCTTGTAACGCAGTTATGTTTTGTTTTTTTGTTTTATTTAATTGATTTGTGAATTGTTTGTTATGGTTTTGTTTGCATGTTTACAAGTGTAATGAGTGATGTGAGGTGGCTGTTGTCCAGTTGGTGTAGAATCTATATTCCTTATATATATATTTTTGATTTTGTTCAAATGAAATGGTATTTCTTGTTCTATGGGCATGCATGTGCCTTGTAATGCAGTTGTTTTGTTTCCTGTTTTTTCTTTTCTTTTCTTTTTGATTAATTGGTTTGTGAATTGCTTGTTTTGGTTTTGTTTGCATGTTTACAAGTGTACTGAGTATGTGCAATAGCTGTTGTCCAATTGGTTCTATATATATTTTATTTATATTCTTTTTTTGCGATTGTATCGATTGTAGTTGATGGATTGTATTTGCGGTGATTTTTTCCAGGTTGTGGAGTTTCTGGTTTCGTGATGCGGCCTTTATGTTGGATTTTCGTTGTGTGTGATTTGTTGCCTGTACTGAGTGTTGTGTGATCTTCAATTGTTGTGCTTTAAAATGGATGGATGGATGGATGGATCCATCCATCCATCCAACCATCTATCCATCTATACATCATTTTCTCCACCTGTCCATCTATTCATTTATATATCCGTCTTTCAGTCTACGCGCTTCTCCATCAGTATATCAATCTGTGTTCTTTCCTTCACTGTCGTCTGCTGGCGCATGATTGCACTCCTGAGATGTGTCTAGTCTACGTTGAATCTTTCAGCTTCTGCGTTATTTACTGCATCGTGACCCGCTGCATGAGCTTTGTTTTATATTCCGCACAACACGCCCAGAATAGAAACACTTGATGCCATATTTCTGAGTAAATTTCGAAATTTTTTTGAAATGAACCTTCGTCTGTTTTCTCCGATTTTCCTTAAACCCTGCTCACACAGAAACGCGAATTTTATTACAGAAAATAGGAAAATCTCTCGGTCCTTCGCTGCATCTATAAATAACCTGTCATTCGCGTAGCACAAAAACCACGAGAACCCGACAAATATACGTGTCATGGCGGACTATATACGCGTTCATTTGCCGCCGTTACATTTACAACTGACAACTGCGCACTAACCTACATTCCCGCCCGCATTGATGGCGAGTCCAGATTCCCTTTAAAATGGACTCGAACACGCCCAGATCTTATCTGTGAACGTGACAGGCGCGATGGGATGTCCGTGTTATTGGTGCAGGCAGCTAGTTCGGACGAGATTCAGCCGTTACTACAAAAAGCTACCGCTGCGATCCACACAAAGCCAATGTCGAATCGGATAGTTTTTCTGCACTAAAATGACCGCTTGCTAACCTAGAGAGGGAATCTATATTGCTATGTGTGAGGACGGAATCGAGCCTCGCCGCCCGTGTTGTTCAAAGCTCTTCATGTTCTCGCTCTCTAGCCGCCCGTTGCAAACAACCTAGCACTCGCTGTCCGTCGAAAGCATCTGTTTGCGGAATATAAACTGATAGTAGATACTTTCTGCAACGTAACCCGATGGTAGGTAGCCACTAGCAATGCTAACAACATCTCCAGCCGCAGTCGCGTACGTATAAACACTGTCGGAAAACTGACAGTTTCCCGCTGGAAAATGTTGGGTATGTCATTAGCGAGAGAGTAAGGGGAGTGCTGTAAAACTATAGCATTGTAAATATTTATAGGTGGAGTGCATTTTCGCAGCAGCCCCACTTGTATGCCGATGAACACGCACGTCACTAAAAGACTCGTGCAGCTCATATATATGCAACACTCGGCGAAACCTTGAACCATCAGAACATTAGCTTGAATATCAGCAGCGATCCACTTATTGCTATTCTGCAGAGATATCAGTTAGCATTCATATTTTGCATGCGTCTCGTGTTTATAATATATATATATATATATATATATATATATATAGTAAGAGAGAGAGAAGAAGAGAGAGAGAGAGAGAGAGAGAGAGAGAGAGAGCGTGAGAGTATATATAAGATATATATATATATATATATATATATATATATATATATATATAATATATATATAATAGAGAGAGAGAGAGAGAGAGAGAGAGAAGAGAGGAGAGAAGAGAGAGAGAGAGAGAGAGAGAGAGAGAGAGCAGAGAGAGAGAGAGAGAGAGTATATATATATATATATATATAATATATATATAATTATATATATATAGAGATAGAGAGAGAGAGAGAGAGAGAGAGAGAGAGAGAGCGAGAGAAGAGAGAGAGAAAGAGAGAGAGATAGATAGATAGAGAAAAAGAGAGAGAGAGAGAGAGTGAATTATACAGAGACAATTAAAGTGTGTACAATTACAATTACAATAACAATTACAATTACAATTACAATTACAGTGCCCTATTGCACTAGCGTATCTCACGTACTGCATAACTTTAGCGTCAAACTACGGTAACTGACGCAGTGTACTACATCTTTGTGTGACGCGGTAACTACATCTTTATCGTATATATTTACCACTGCAACTTCAACACGCGTGCCTTCTCTAACCGTGCTATGCTGCGATTGCTGGGGACAGGTTTGGAGACTGGCAAGTTTAACGCTTCGGTTGTTATGATAACTATATAGTGCCTATAGTAGCTTTTAATGATCGGCAACTATGTGGATTGACTGGTGCGGGTCTGCATTCTTAGTGGCATGTGGCTGTCTAACCCTCAGTGTGGTGTACGCGCTACGCCATTATACATTATATAATACATACATACATACATACATACATACATACATACATACATACATACATACATACATACATACATACAATACATACATACATACATACGTACGTAACGTACGTACGTACGTACGTAGCGTACGTACGATACGTACGTACCACGGTACGCACGCACGCCACGCACGCCACGCACGGCAACGCAACGCACGCCAGCACGGCACGCACGCACGCACGCACGCACGCACGCACGCACGCACGCGCGCACGCGCGCACGCACGCACGCGACGCACGCGCACGCACGCACGCACGCGCGCAGCACGCAGCGCACGCGCGGCACCGCGCACACGCGCAACGCGCACAACGCGCACACGCGCCACGCACCGACGCACACACCACAGCACCACCGCACACATGCA